CCCAGAAAAAAGAGATTTAAAAGAGACGCTTAACAGGGGGAAACGTGTTTAAAAAAATTTCTCAGGTCCCACCCCCATTTATGGGGGGCCAGAGGGGCATCGGGGTGGGGACGCGCAACTCACAAAAAGAACCTTTGAGGTCACGCCCCGGAAACCCCGGGCCGGGGGCCTCTCCGGTAGGGGGCCCAGGTTGATTTCCCCCCCCCGGAGTCTCAAATTAAGGGGGGGGCCGGGCCCCTTTTTTAAGTCCCGGAGAAAAGGGGGGGGTCCCCCCCCGGGGGGAATTGTTTCCGGGGGGCAAGGGGATTTTCCTCCGGGAGAAACCAAAACCGGCCTTTGTGCGCTTTGGGGGCCCCCCAGGCCTGGGGTTTGGGGGGGTTTTTTTTTTTCAGGGGGTCCCTGGTTTAGGGCCAGGGGGAGCCAGTTCCGGGCCCAGTCCTGTGCCCAGTGTCGTGCGAGGGAGTTTTGTTGTAAGATTCTTGTTTCACGTGCTAAGTGCCCCCCCCCCCCCCCCCCCCGCTAAATTCGCGCTAAATTCGCGCTAAAGTGCACTAAAGATGCAGTAGATAAACACTTCACAACGCACTAAATTTAGACCCAAGCGGCCCGCTGCAGGTCCGGCTCTTTCTTTTTTCACGTTCTCGTGCCGCTTCCTTCAAACAAACATGCGCGAGGGGTGGCGTTTCGGCTGTGCGGTCTCGACTTGCCCATGAGTAATTTCTCAGAGAGTTGACAGACTGAGGCTAGATACATGGCTTGTCGTTGGCGTGCTTGTTGTGAGTTTTGGTTCATTGGCCTGGTTCAAGGACGGTTGGTTTTGCTTCTCATTCTTTTGTGGCGGTTTGACTAGTTGGGGGCTTGCCCACGGACATGAAACGCTTGCATTATCTTATTTATATTTGCCATTATGCTGGATTATTTTTGGTTGCAGCCGCATGATCAAGAACACGGAGGACTTTCAGGTCAAGCTGCCGGCTGGGACTATGCCGGGCGCAACATTGCGGGTGACGCTGCCGGGCCGCACCCGCCATGTGACTTGTACAGTGCCTGCCGACGCCAAGGGGGGTGACACGATTCGCGTCACCGTGAAGAAGGAGTCGCCTCCGATCGTCAGCAGTGACAAGAGCGGCGCTGAGCTCTATTGATTTCATCGACGGGAGAATGCCGTGGCTTGGGGTGTTACTGAATTCCGCTCTCCTCAAGTGTCAAAATCCTCGTAGAAATGAGCGAAACTCTGGCTCTCAAATTCGTCCAAATTCGCTTCGCGGGGGCTCAGCCTTCGCCTCCCGGCCGCTCGCCGCGGCAGGCTCAAAAACGGCACTAGTGACATGGATGTCTTGGATCCTGCCTATACCCCGGCACGGACCTCAGACGAGCGTCCGCAATGAGCAATTGTCCTGCAGCGCTCTCACCAGCGCAACGGCGCCCTCGTCCGCCACCGCGTTGAGGTCTAGCGTGCGTAAGCTTGCGTACACCGCGAGGGCGGCGGCCAGGGCATTGGCGCCAGGGTCGCCGATCGGATTGTGGGGCAGATGCAACGCACGCAGCGAACCTGTGGAGTAGAGTGCTGACGCGAGCGCTGCGGCGCCGCGGTCGCCGACGGAGGCGCAGCCGAGCGACAGCTTGGCGATGGAGGTGGCTGGGAGGCCACGTGCCAAGGCAGCGGCGCCCTCGTCACCCAAGGGATTCCCGCTCAGATCGATCGCCCGCAGCACACACTCTCGATGACTCACCGTGCGGCCAATCGCGACGGCGCCAGGGGCGTGGAGGGGGCGCACGGAATCGCCGCCGGCGGGGGGCGAGGGCGCTGGCGACGGAGGAGGAGCCATAGAGCCCGAGGAGGCTTCGACGGACGGCCCATAAGGGGCCGTCGCCTGCTGTGCCTTTGTATGTAGTGCAAGTCCGAGCCAGTCTGCTGTGTGACGGCCTTGTACCGTAGAATTCTTTTTTCACGTGCGATCTCTTCCTTCACACATCACAGGACAGATGACACGTCGTCACCTAACAATTAATTGCTCGAGCTGACACGCCCTCGCTCTAGACACGCACCGCCATATCCCAAAGGGCGTGGCGTCTGCAAGCCGTGAGGCGGGCACCAAATCGACAAATACGACACTAGAATCAACTACTCGAAGTCGGCCCTGACCTGGGGCCACTTACGTTTGCAAAGTGCAGCAGCATGTGTTTTGGCATCGAGACGGAGAAGGCCCCACAGTCGCCAATCCCGTACGTCAACTCCGAGGTGTTGTCGCCGATAGCAAGGCCAGCGCAAAACTGAACAAAGTCAACGTCGGTGTTGTACAGGCGCGGGAACATGAACGGGGCTGAGAAATATCGCAGCTCAAACGGTGGTGTCGCAGACGCCTGCAAAAAGGCATGTTCGTACCGCAAATCGATGCTCAGGTTCTGTCTATGCCGCTCACTGCCACCCATATGCCTTGTCACGTGCGCCACGCCGACCATCGCGTCGTTACCCACCGCGACCCATTGCGACGATCCCCGGAGATCCCGGCTGCACGAGTCCAGCTTCGTCTCATGTGCGAGCGCACATTGCCCGTCCGTGGCATTGCAGCGCAGCACCTTGTGAGGGCACAGCGTGTAGGAGACGTGCAGCTGCCCCTCGTACTCCCATGGCATCCAATTCTTCTCTGTGTTGTATGCGTTGGAATAGTTGAGGTGGACCTCGCGGTACACGGGTTCGAGTGCGGCTAGGTACATCCTGACCATCCCGAAGTTGTTCCCCTTACGAGCGAACACCATGTGCATGCGGCCGTCCAGAAGGACAGGCCGAGCATCTTCAGTGTACGGGTACACACCTGCCACCTGCTGATGATGCCGAAGCCATACTGTCCACCGATCGCCCGATAAGGTCGTAGCTCCATCAGGCATGGTTTGCCGGACAATTCTGCGATTAGCGTTGCTGTTTGCGCCTGAATCAATCGCGCACCGGCTGTAAGTACCGACCTTGAGCAACATGTTTTGATCATTGTGCACCGCGGGGTTGAGCAAGAAGGCTGGCCGGCGTTGGTGTTTGATGTGAGAGCTTCTTGAGTCATTGCGTAGCACCGGCACCCGTCGGCCCATGTCAGTGTGCACGAGCGCGTGAGCTGAAAAGCTTGGCTGTTGTTGGATTCGATCTAGCAGTGCTCCTTCGACCACCGCTTCAATGGGCAGCCTTGGCATGTAGTGGGCAACACCTGGCTCTAACCACACAGAAGAGCCGCCCATCCGACTCCCAAACTCCGCGGCGCCCGCCCCACCCCAGTCCCCATCCAGGAAAACGAATTTGCATTGGAACATGGCTGGCCAGATACATAGGCCGGTCGAAAAATCGTTGGGTCACGACTCCTTGAGCAGATTCTCACCCCCGCCCTGCCCAAACACCCACCGGACAACGCCCGGATTGCTCGAGCCCGAGATGAGGTCCGTCAGAAAGAAGCGGCCGCCGCCAGCGCGCCCACGCTCCACCCGGAGTCGGACGCTGCAGCTCGTGCCGTTCCCGCGCGGCCCGCGCAACTCTACGATGCTCATCTTGGTCACGCTCACATTCTCCCCTCCCGTCTTGTAGCCGTCGAGGAGCGCCGCGCACTCGCACGGCGCGTCGCAGCTCACGGCGGCTCGAGCCATCCGTGGGCGCCAGCTATGCAGGTAGCCTAGGTGCACCGGCGTTGAGGCGAGGCCGCGAGGCAAACTCAACCTCAGCACGATCGAGCTGCCAGCGCGTGTGGCAAGGAGGCCGGGCTTGCGTCCCGGCGTGAAGGCGAAGCCACTCGACGACAGAACCGCGCCGCGCAGCCGCTCTCCATGCAAGCACGTGGCGGCGCTCGCGCGGGCAGCGATCCCCGCGAATCGGCCCGTGAGGTAGAGCGGCGCCGGCAGCTCGGGGACGGCTCCAGCTACATCGTCGCGCTGGCATGAGCCGCCGCCTTGGAGGGGCCCGCTGGCCGCCTGAGTGGAGGTGGGGCCCAAGGGGTGGGGGGGGTGGGGGGCAAGCTAAAGAGGTGGAAGAGGGGAACGGTGGCCGCAGATGTGCGTGTTGACCGTCTATCGGAAGATTTTGCAAAGTGGCGCACCTGCTGAAGCGCGTGTACGAGGAGCTGCGCCATCCACGAGTGGCCTACGGCGAGGTGCGGCGCACCTTTCTCCGCGTAAGTCAAGGGCTTGGCTGCCCCCCCTCTCTCCACGCCCCGAGACAGCCCCCCCCCCCCCCCTCTCCAAACGCGCGGGTGCGAGTTGGCCTTGCTGGTGCGGATGCGCACAGTCCGCCATTAGGTTAGGCAGCACGAAGGGGAGCGTGCCGAGCGCCTCGGCGCGGAAGAGCGACACGAGCGGCACGCTATACCTCTGTGCGAGCGCCTCCACGCCCTTCTCACCCCTGCGCCCACCCCAGCGGTGAAGCTCCTTACCCCAGCTGCTACAGATCTTCTGCTTCTTCATGCAGTCTGTCACGCCGGGCTGTGGCAGCCTACACGCGGCGGCAGCGATGATGTGAGTGTGGACGAAGCTACAGCGGCTGTCTATCCGGGACACTGGGGGCGGGCTGAAGCGAGGTATCGGACGGTGGGGCAAGCGCTGCCTGCGAGCGTTGACAAGGATCACCGCGGCGCGAGAGGCCAGCAGGCGGCGCAGAAGCGCCTCGAGCCACGCGAGGTCCTCGCCTCCCTCTGTGTTGACCGCGTACTCGACGAGCACGAGGTCGGGCGGCCGCCCTGCCGGCAGCATTGACTCGAAGCATAGCGCCGCAAACGCGGGGCCTTACGTGGCGGAGACGGAGACATAAAAGGCGAAGTACGCTGGAGAGGAGGAGAGGGGGGGACGCGCGCACCCACGGCAGGTAGACCGCAATTGAGCGAATCGTGGAGCGCTCGCGCCTGCGTCTGCGGCCAGACCTCGCGCATGTAGCTCGCGAGCTTGCGGTGGTACAAGTAGCGGCTCTCGAGATGCTCCCGCCCAGAGAGAGTGCCAAACGGCAGACCGGAGGTGATGGAGCCGCCCAGCGCCGCCACAATCACCGGTGACCGCACCGCCGCACGCACAAAGCAGGCGAGCCGCCGCGATCGCCTCGCGTGGGATACCGCCCGGTCAAGCTGCTCTTCGCTCAGCCACACGCCACCGTACGCGGAGGCGTTGCCCGCGTCGGCCTCCACCCGGCCGACTCCCGCAGGGTCCTCCGCCTCTTGTTGGATCAGAGCCGGCTCCACCTCTGCAAACGGACGGAGCCCAAACCAGACCAGCGGCTGGCTGTGGCGCGCGCGGCTGGCGAAGGAGGCCGCGCCGCGGGTCCAGTTGCCACCGACCGCCTCTGTTCGAAAAGTGCCGTCGACGGGCTGCAGCGCTCCAGCATCGCATTCCGAGAACCAGGAGCACTCCTGTTGGGCGCGGGGCCGGGCGGGGCGGGGCCTTAAGGACGCCAAGGAGATATGGCAGAGAAAGCAACGCTGTCCTGTCGCGCCGCGGACCACGAGACAAAGCGGCATCGGCTGCAGCGGTGGCACCGCTCAATGCACCCGAGCCTCCCGCGAATGCCAAACCGACGCGCCGGCACAAATGTTCCAAAGTCCGACGTGTGGCAGTCGCCTTCTGGGTGCGGCACCTGCGAGCGAGAGAGGAACGGAACAGTCGCAAAATGGAGGTCTGTTCGCTGACGATCGCACAGGAGCGCAGCGAAGCCAGGCGGGCAGCAAACCTTGGGCTCTCCGAGACCGTGGCAGGTTCGTGAACAGGCGCCGCGAGGCGCAAAGCGGCGCCCTCGAGCGGCGCCCGGGTCGGAGACTCGTCCAGACAAGTCCTTTTGCGTGGGGCCGGGATCGCTCGGCGCAGCGAGCCGTCCTCGCGGACGGGCGCGTCGGGGCATGTGCATACGCGTTTTAGGTTAGGTAGGAAGGTGGAGAACAGTCAGGCTCGGACTGGACACCAACGCGTGTCTGAGCGCTGCAGAGTGCAGTCTTGAAACTCGCGCGTCCCTTGTCAAAGTTGAGCCGATTCGAAGAAAAAGAATTTTAAGAAAAAGAAACTCCGGCTCAAGTTCTCTCTCGACACTGGGCACGGGACTGGCGCGCACTGGCACTAACACAGGTACGGATAGGGTCGATTCCGCATGGTACGGGACCCCTCGATCGTCTCGCCCTCCCTCACTTACCTATTGCATAGGGGCCAGCCAGTGTCAACAGACCCCCTATCTGGGTAGGAGCCGGAACCCTGGGCTGGCCCCCAACGTTGCAAAACAACAAAACGCGGCGCGACGTACGCCCGCTCGCGGGTTCAATGGCGGGCCATCGCGTGGCAGAAGCTGTTGATTATAAGGCCTGCCCCCCCCCCCCCCCCCTGCGGGATGCTCTCAAAGCTAGCGGAAATTCTGCGCATTTTGTCCCGGACGCTTGGAAATCAGTTACGAACGTCAGCCAGTATGGTCGTGCGCCTGCAGCAGGCGGCGGCCGCGTACGGCTCGTCGGAGGACGACCCGAGCGACTCGGAGGACGAGGACGAGACCACGAAGGAGCTCTCCGCCTCCCTCTCCGTCGCCGAGCTGAAGCGACGGTGCAGGGAGGCTAATGTCAGCCAGTGGGGCAATCGCGCTCAGCTGGTCGTGCGCCTGCAGCAGCCGGAAGGCGAGCAGCGCGGCCCAGTGCTCTGCGCGAGTGGCGTCAAGTGGGTGGTCCTGCGGTGGGTGGGCTATTGGTTGGGGTGAGGGAGGCAGCCCGGGAACCAGAGGCAACTGGGAAGAGGGGTGGGTGCCGGCGGGAAAAGTCCCCCTGGGGGTGGGGGGTGGGTG